TGGTATAGAACCCCCGCAGCCCTCCACAAGATCTATCCCGAGGTTTCCTCAACCTGTTGGAGGTGTGGCCAAGCCGAGGGTACCATGCTGCACATTTTCTGGACATGTCCAGCTCTCCAGGAATACTGGACAGCGATCAGACTACTTCTGCCCAAATTTACTGATCGAGTCATTCCGCATGACCCAACGTTTTTCCTTCTGCACCACAATGCATTCCCAAAAAAGGGGTACTTGAAATCAGTGTTACCACATCTGCTCAATGCAGCGAAAGCTTGCATCCCTATGCTATGGCGAAATACCAGACCACCCTCGGTGAAAATGTGGCTAAGCAAAGTTTGTGAAATCTGGCGAATGGAGGACATGACGGCATCGACCCCTGAATTGCAAACCTCCTTTAATAAAATTTGGTTTTACTGGACGGAATTCCTACACTCTCCAGAATACCAGACTCATTTCACCTCAGACCCAGGTGCAGACCATCAGATACGCTGAGTGAGTCGGATGTAGTGGCTCACCTGGCGGGATCCATCTTTTGTCCCCTCTTCTTCTCTTCCTAGTTTCCACTCTTCCTCCTCTGTTCTCCACCTGCTAGTATGTGTCCCTGACCTTACAGGTCCTGATATAGGTGTACCCTAGATCACTATGATAGCACGAAGATGTGGATAACTCAGAGGCCAGTCAAACTGAGATGGACAGATACATCCCTTGATGACGATAAGCCCCTGCTATGGGTTCCATGTATGATATCATGGTCACAAGTATATGAGTAAAACGCCGCACAATCAAATGTCCGTGAAACATGCAATCTAGGCCCCAGCGGCCAGTACTATCTCAAAAGATCTACATAGTCGAGGGGCTACACATCTACAAGTTTATGAGTGACAAAACAGGTAAATCTAGAGTGTTATGAAAGGTGTCAAGACCACGCAGGCTACCCCTTCCCTTTCTATGTTAGTTGTGTATGTATTTCCATGTATATACAATGTTGTGTAATATGCCTATATTGGAAAAGTTACAGGATCCATGCACTGACACAGCTGCCTATCATCCTGACTGCATTGTATTTTTTTTGTATAGTCATACAGTGTATATGTGTGGACAATCCTGTTCCGAAAATAAAGAATTTATAAAAATAAAATAAAATATAAACAATTGGACGGAGCTAGTGGTGACATCAACGCTAGTTCCGCCCAACTGTTTACATTTGGCCGTCACCTGCCAGAGTCTTCTAGCAGGTCCAGGGGAAATGAAAACAACTGGGCGAAGCCGGCCGTGATGTTACGGCCGGCTCCGCCCAGTTGTTGTTTAATGATAGATCAGCTCCACCCAGTTGTTGTCTTTTACGGGGAGAACGGTCGGCTTTGGCTGACCTTTTTCCCCGCTTTGGCTGACAGTACAGCTCAGCCGAGCCGAAACATATGCGTTCGGCTCGGGTGAGCCGCTCGCCTGCCTTCGGCTGCTGTACGGGCTATAGTGAATAGCCCATACAGCAGCCCTTCAGTTCGACTGAACCAAAAGGCCCTGGTGGCTGAAGTGAGCTGAAGGATCGGCCGAAGCTACGGATGGATCCATCGACTCTACAGTGAATAACCCTCCTGGTGCAAAAAAGTACACCTGCAGTAAAATTAAATCACAGCAGATTTACAGTACTTCTGAACCAAATCCCTCAGTCACTGCCCCAGAACTGCTATAAGGTCTGTAAATCGGGGAATGACTTCTCCCATCAAAGCCTGCTTTGTCAACATTGCCTTTGTTTGTTTTTTTTAGTTCTTTTGTTTGCAGTTCCAGACAAAAACAGCAACTAGCAGATAACCAAGCATTTCTGCATGTAGTAGAAAACCATAAACTGAGGAGAAAATATGATGCCTTGGCTTAAACATGGTAACTTAGGGATGTAATACAGTTTTAATGCATATAGACTATAGGGGAGAGAAGTGGAGGGAAGTGCCATCACACTGGGAATATGGAGATGGTGGGAAAGAGATGGAGGGAGGTGAAGGAACGAAGCGATCAGGCTGGATGACACAACTCATGGCAGGCTCAGTAGTCTGAGGAATCAATTTGCAGCATAGTATTTTTGCAATCATCAGAGAAGGTAAAGTCATGCCAGTAAAACCAAGTGAGATTGAACTTCTCCTCCTGATGGGTCAGAGATGCTGTGAGGTTTTCCATCAATTGAATCTCCCTGTTTTAGAGAGCCACAGAGCTTGAGATGGGGGACAGGTCTGCTTCCATAGGCAGGGAATGCATTGCTTAAAAAGGTGAATCAGAAGGGATTTTCTATACCTCTTTCTCGAGAATTTCGTGAGATGGAGAAGGTTGTCCGCAGGTTCAGTCCCTAGATTAACATCAGTCAGCATTTTCACAATGTCCTGAACTTCCCTCCAGGAGGAAGTCAATCTAAGGCAGGGCCAAAACACATGCAATATGGAGCCCTTGGCCTCGCTGCACTGCCAGCATGAAGGAGTATTGGGATAAATCTTGTGTAAGACGAAAGGCACTCTGTATCACCGGGAGATACATTTATAATTGGTCTCCTGAATCCTACTGGCAGTGGATGCATGGTGAGCGAAATACAGAATGTGTTCTTTTTGGTCCTATGTCAGCTTCAAGTGCAGTCCCTCCCATTTGCTCAAAAACGGAGGGACAAAAGAGTCTGAGTGTTGGATAAGAGACTTATAAGTCAGAGAGAGGGGGTGACGTACTGAACTGTTTTTAGAGCAAAGACAATCGAACCAAGTTCACTGGGTCAAACATTCATACAAAGGTAACAGAGTAGAGAGAAAGTGGATAAGTTGTTGGAGTCTCCGGGGATCTAAAGAAGGGTCTATCAGGGCCTGCACTGTGTCCTGAGAAAGAAGAGGTAAAGTCCTTAAGTCTAATTTTGGAGGCCTGATAAAGACGATTGAAATGGGGATCATTCCAGCCAGGGGAGAAATCCGGATGGCCTCAAATGGGGATCATGGGTGATTGTGTCTTACGCAAACTCGGTTTCCCGAACACCACGTGGATTATGTTTACTGTCGGCCCTTTCATGGGGTGAGATATCAGTGTCCCAAGATGGCGAACTTCCAACCGGGGATCCCCCATAATGGCCACTTAGACGCAGCTTGTTCCAACCTGATCATATGTTTATGGTGAGGTGAGTTCTGCGATCACTCCAGAATCCTGGAAAGGTGAGCAGCTTCATAACAAAGTATTGGGTCTTTGAAAACGTATCCTCCGTGTATCTTGAGCAACACCAGTAATGTAGAAGATATGGGAGGAGGAGAGTTTGCTCAAATGAATCGCAAGAAGACTTGTCATACGTTTCACAGGAAAGAGGCGGAATGGCAATCGGTAGTGTCTAAAATAGGTATAGCACTCTAGGAAGCATGTTAATTTTCAAGATCGCGATCCTACCAAACCATGTGTGTGTCAGAGTTTCCCATCTGGACATGTCTTGTTTAATCTGATGGAAAAGCGGTATGAAATTAGCCGCAAATAACCCATCCAGGGTAGGAGTGACCCAGGTACCCAGATTGGTAATACAGTCCTTCGCCCATTTAACCCCTTTAACCCGGGAGACGAACACTGTACATCCCGCCAGGAAGTGCCTATATGACTGGCCACGTACACTGTACGTGACGAGTTATTTAAGGCTCTGTAATGCCGGTAACTGCTGATTCTCAGCGGTTACCAGTCATTAATGAATGCCTCAGTGTTGAGGCATTCATTAATGAAATAGTTAAGCTTTTGTAAAAGCTTCTTTCTTTCATGCAAGAATGAAGCCGTTACATACAAATATGGGAGTGCTAAATAGCGATCCCGTATTTGACCGCTAGAGGTAGCAGAGTGAGTCACCTCTCTGCTATTCGTTTTGACAGCTCGATAGACTGGCCAGATGTTTATGATACATTTCAAGCGCAGTGTTACAATGTATCTCTGTGCCTAAAATGTATCACTTCTGATCGTCAGAGCTGGATTTAGACCTTTAGTGAGATCTGATTCTGACATGCTTTCAGGATCAGTCTCTAAGGTTATTATTAGCAGTTCCTAAATTTGGAGCAGCCTAATAATAACCAAAAATTAAAAAAGTTAATTTATCAAGCAGTCATAGTGACTGCTTGATATAAACTGACAAAAAAAACAAAAGTTGTATTTTTTTTACACTTTTTTTTACAAAGTGCAAAAAAATTAAATAATAAAGTGTAAAAAAATTAGGAAAATAAAAATGATATCTAAATATAGTTTTTATACTATAATTATTATAAAACATTTAAAAAAATTAATAATAATCAAAACTTGTGAAAAAAAGTGTTTTAAGTTTTTTCCTCATTTTTTTAAATATTTTATTAGAACTAAGTGAGGCGTTAGGTACACATTTGATATAATTATATAGCCCTATCTGTCCTCTAAAAAACAATATATAATATGTGTGGGAACATTTAGTAAGAAAGTATATTACTGCCGTGGAAGAATCACACACCAAAAATGTAAAAAGTGTGTCAGTCATTTATGAACAGAAACTGAAAACTAGCTCAGTCATGAAGGGGTTAAACAGAAAAGCGGATCTTCGTGAAGAGATACGTTTTGGGGAGACCGTGATATTGAGAGCTTCCGATTTGTGATAATTTATCATAAAATTAGATAGGGCTCCAAACCTATTCAATTAATGTAATAAATTGGGAAGGGTGGTCTCTGGGACATTAACTTTACAGCACAGACACTAGCAAATTATGCATTAATGAGGAGCTTCAAGTACACCTGAGCAGATTCACTTGTTTTTCTATAGCTAAGAGTAAAATAGGTTGCACAAATACTGTGCAATTCGGGCTAATTATCTCATTTAGGTCTTCAAGGTTAACCTGTCACAAGCCTGGACAATTCAAAGTAAGCACATGATAAGAAAATGCATAAGCAGAGGTTAAAACTGCTAACTGACATTTAGTACACTCTGCTTAATTGGAAGTTGTTTTTTTTCACTGAGAAACATTTAATAATATATAAATAAAGATTACTGTTAGTAATGTGTTCCTGAGAAGATGCGGGTGCAGCGCTTTCTTTCTCTGGAAGAACCACATCTGTTTCCAACACCTCTTCTATGGACTTCTCAAAAGAGTCAAACGTCATCTAGGACATACAAAGGAACAAACAGATCAATTCAGTAGAGCTGGAAATCAGAAGGAGCAATCCATTACACAACCATCATTACATCAGAATGTATATGTAAAACACTTTGGTAGCAAATATATTTATTTTACTGGTTCAGTTTATGGCAGAGAAATTACACTGAGAGGAAATAGATGTGGTACTCACCAGTTCATCCCTTGATGGGTCTGGCTGAGGAATAATATCAGGAGGAGCCAACTCATCACTATTAAACCTAATAAAAATATGTAAAATATTGTTTGCACAGCTTGAAGTGAACATCATGTCATAACAACATTTCCGGCTCTAAAATACAAAGGTCAACCATAAAGAGTGCAAAGTGCTGGCAAGGGGAGACTCGATGAGTGAAGGTGAGCAGTAGAGATTAGTTTTGAGTTCAGGTTTCCGATAAGGGGGTCCTCACATATCTGGGCCTCCCCCTACGTAAATGAGTAAGGAGTACTCCTCCCCTCCTCTTTCTCTTTCTGTAGGGGTCCCCCAAGGCTCTGTCCTTGGACCCCTTCTCTATCAATACCTCCTCCCTTGGTCAGTTAATAACCTCACATGGCTTCTCTATCTCTATGCCGATGACACTCAAATATATCTTTCTACTCCACAACTCACCCCCTCAGTATCCTTGTGTGTCACTAATCTACTAACTGACATATCAGTCTGGATGTCACAACACTTCTTAAAACTCAACCTTTCAAAAACTGAGCTCATGATATTTCCTCCTGCCCGTGCACCTTCCCCAAACTTTTCCCTTGAGATTGTTAACACAACTATCCAGCCCTCCCCCCATGCCAAGGTCCTAGGTGTCATCCTTGACTCGGACCTCACCTTTCTTTCCCACATCCAATCACTATACAAATCCTGCCGCCTTCACCTTCGTAACGTCTCCAAAATACACCCCTTCCTCACCAATGAAACCTCAAAATTACTCATCCACTCACTTGTTATATCTCGTCTTGACTATTGCAACTGCCTCCTCATTGGCCTACCTCTATACAGGCTATCCCCTCTTCAGTCTATAATGAATGCAGCTGCTAGACTCAGTCACCTAACCAACCACTCAGTGTCTGCAACCCCCCTCTATCAATCCCTACACTGGCTTCCAATAGCCCAAAGGATAAAATTCAAAATATTAAAAACCACTTACAAAGCCATGGACAACTCTGCCCCGGCTATATTTCAAACCTGGTCTCAAAGTATCACCCTAACCGTCCCCTTTGCTCTTCAAAAGACCTTCTGCTTTCCTGCTCCCTCGTCAACACCTCCCATGCTCGCCTCCGGGACTTCACTAAAGTCTCTCCCATCCTATGGAACTCTTTACCCCAACCTGTCCGACTATCTCCCATTCTGACTGCTTTTAGGCGATCCCTTAAGACTCATCTCTTCAGGGAAGCCAATCCCACATCAAACTAACCACTCAACCATCACGATCTCAAACAATTCATCCCCACACAGCTACCTCCTCATGTATCGCTTGCCCCTCTCTTTTAGATTGTAAGCCCTCACGGGCAGGGCCCTTCTTTCCATCTTGTCTTGAATTGTATTGTGATTGTAATGTCTTCCTTATATTGTAAAGCGCTGCGCAAACGGTTGGCGCTATATAAATCCTGTATAATAATAATAATAATACGTAGTACCCCTTGTTACTTATTCACTAAAAAATTTAATAGTAAATACACAGACAGACATCATGCAAAAGTCCTTTTTAAAAAATAAATAAACATTGTTCCACAATGCAAATTCATCATCAATTATGTCGTTGCAAACTCCTGTTGAATATGACAGCTCCCTGGACAGATGATAAATGTCAACAAACCAGGCGGGGATTTTCGGGTGACGTTACAGACCAAATATGGTCAAGATCAAATTTGGAGTATTGGCGGCAGAGGATAGTTGTGGCACAGGGCGTCATGTGGTGGATCGTTGGGTTGTCATTCATCGTGTTTGACATTAGATCTACATTGCAGCACGACGTGATTGATGTTGGATTTATATTGTGAGACAATGTTTTTTTTTTTTTTTCACAGTGTCTTTATTTTGTGTGTTTATTTATTTAGTGTGTTTATTTAATATTAGTTTTTTGTGAATAAGTATCAAGGGGTAACCATGTACCCTTTACTTATTCAGGTAGGGGGAGGACTGGATATCTGGGGGCCCCTTATCATAAAATAATCTTTCAGATTTGGATAAGTCTTCCCCTGTAGACCCAAACATCCACCAGGATGTAAATGAGGCCCTAGTTCCTATCAACCCTATTAAGGATAAAGCTTTGGTAAGGATTTTGGGTGGACCTCACACCTTTTTTTGTGAACAATGTGTACTGTCCCATTAGGAAATAAATGTCTTGGGGTCACCCCCAAAATTCTTACCAAAGCCTTATCCAGTAAGGGTCTGGTATGGAATTTGAGGGGGATCCCGCTCTGTTTTTAAAAACAGAACAAAGCCATCTGGAAAATGTAATTTAACAGTAATATTTTTTTTGTTGTTCTAAATTTCACGTAAGCAAAAGTGTATTGTGCAGGTGTGAAGTTTTTAGGCACCCTCCCAAGAATGTTATTTAAATGAATTTTAGTATTTTTAACGTTGCCCTTAAAACTGTATTAAAAGATCCACTCCCTGCTGACCTTTTTTTTTTTTGCATTGTCCCCCATGCAATACCCAGCTACCCATGTCCTTTTTAAGCGAAGGCTTGAAAACTGGTCTTAAACATTCCAGAAAAAAAATAGAAAGATTTAGCTTCCATAGACTTCAATAGGGTTCTTGCACTATGTTAGGAGTTTTCAGATTTTTCCAAGTGTTCAGTGAATATTCAGCAAACCAGACTTTGCTCGGTTTGCTTATCATTAGTAAGCAGTATTATGAAACAAAAAAAAAATGAAAATACAAATTTTGTATAAAACCTTTTTAATCAGCTTCCTTTGAGGAAAGTGCTTTCAAATAAACAGAAACATAAATAGACTAGCTTTAAAGAATAATGTAATTTTATATAAAAGTTCCAGAACAGGAAGATGGGCAGACTGTTTTTAGGGGTGGTGGTTGGGCACAGCTTGCTAGTTCCGAAGAGGATGTAAACACAGCCTCTCATCAGCAGGCCATGGCAGTGAGATTAGTGAAAGTCAGACACCGAGGTCCGTTTTTTATTTAGAAATTGATCAGGGGCATATCAGGGGCTAGTTTTATATAAAAGTATAGTTAGCATATAAACAAGCATTCTTAGCAGACCGTCGCCTCAGAGGAAGTCAATAGTGACGAAATGCATCAGGTGGGCGGATCTATGCGAGCATTGCAATCATAGAGACAGGAGCTCCAGTGGACACAATCCATGTGCAATTGCCTTATTTTAATTGTAAGTGCATTTTAATCGTTTTAAATAATTTTTTTCTGACATACTACACTATGGGAAGCCTTTTTTTCTCTCTCTGAGTACAAGAGAAAGTGGAAGATGGAGGAATAGTTTTACATGATTTTGGAAAGATAAGCCAGAGTTGGGAGGAATCTACCCGAATTTATTGTCCGATTAAAAACAAAGGAGAGGATTTGGTTCTATATATATATATCAACAAAGCGCTAATTGTTCTTCTGAAATATGGTGAGCAATAGGAGTCGGTGAGTGTGGCCAGGTCTTATCTTTGAGCACGGTGGAGACTGGAGAGCATTGATTCACTAATTGTTGATGCATTCACGGATGTGGTGTTGATTATAAAAGTTGGAAGATATACCCTCACATATTTCAAGGACTTTATTGTATTCAGAAGTAATGGACTTCACATGTGGTTTTAATGAGGGATTTGTAGATTAATGAGGGAGTTGTACATCACTTGTGAGATTTAACACAGGATTTTCTATATGTACACATTTTATGAGATGTACTAGCTCATTTTTTTCCCCCATGTTTATTATGGTTTATAGTGTCTAGACCATTAGACCTAGAGCTTTTTCTTACCATCATCAGCACAGGCATTGTGCAACACAGGTGTTGTGTATAACACAAAATTGTTTATCACTTTGTGACAATTTCACACTTTTTTTTTTCACATTTTAGGAATATAATTTTTGAGTTTGAAGCGCAGTGCTATTTTCTTTCTTTATTCTTAGCACACTGGCACACTGGTAGCCATGGCTCTTATTTTCCACATAAGGTTGTTAATCTCTAGATAACATTTACACTTATCCATTTCATGTGCTATTGAGGTATTGAGACAAAATCATGTTGTAACTTTTCTAAATTTTCTAGCTGGTTATAAGACCTATGAGTTCTGATGCTGTTATTAGACCTTTTGCCTATGGTAGCATATATTTCACTTCTCTTTCCTCATTCCAAGGGGAACCTAGTAAAGGTTATTTATGTGTCATTAAAGCAGAACGTTGTGACCTCACTTCCAGCTTGTTAGAACTTCAACATAAAAAAGTTTGATTATTCAGAGTAAGAATTACTTTGACACATACATCTTAAACTTGTTCTGGTCACAATGGGGTAAAGGTGGTTAAGACAGTATTCTACCTAAAGTCCGTCCTTTCCTCCTGTACAGACAGGGTCCGAAGAATGTTCTGGGTTGCTGGAGTAGATTCTGTTTTTCTTGGTATAATTTCTTCCTTCTCTTCAATGTCTCCTTCCGATGGCCTCATGATTCTCTGTTCTTGCAGGGACCGCACATACAACTCAGAGAAACTCCTAGAGATAAAACCAAGAGAGAACTTAGACTATTTCAACTTAACAGATAGGTTGGCAGCCATGCTACTAACTACCTTGCCTACACATTTTAATACCTGCGAGGCTTTCCTGCTTCATCTGGAGGCAGAGTAGTCACAGTCACCTTCTTTGCACGAATAAACAATATACGAACATCCTCAGGGGTCAATGAGCAGAAAGGTTGGCCACAGATGGCTACCAACCTTGCCCCAGGACAAAGTCCTACAGTTTCTGCCATGCTGAATCTCTCTACTTCAGTTACAAACCCCCCTGAATCTGCATTGAATCCAAGCTGCCCAAGACCATTTCTTAGCAATGGGATTTCACGGGTCTCACAGCCACCTGACACAACCTAGAATAAGAAAAAAACATGGAATTACTTATAAAAGATTATGTCATTTTACATATTTGTATGTAACATTTAACACTATGCAATTGGTTTTCTTATAAACGTGTTTAAATTTCAAGATTTTAGCTAGAATGTAATCTTGCATTTCAAAGAAAGAGTCATGTTAGAATATCCCCCCCAAGATTAGCAGAACAGTGGGACTAGGACCATGGAAACTGAATTCTCTTTTGAGGTAGATGGGCTATAAGACTAGTATATGCAAACTAGCAGAAAAGTACAATTTCATAAAGAAGTTATAACACAAGTTATATTAAAACAAATTAAATGAAAAAATTATATGACAGTCCATCATCTAGCACTGACCACCGCTGACCTTTTGAAACTACCTTTTGCCTGCCTGTCTCTGGTTTCAGCGCTTCTGAGTCATATACCCTCCCCCCAAAAAAAACATGCAGCAGATGATTATCAGAGAAAAGTCAGATGCCCTTATATCTAAGCTGGTGTTGGGATTCAAATTCAGTTCAAACACAAATTATACCCAAATTTGCAGAATTCTGATTGGAACAGACATATTATGAATGTCAATTGAATTAATGGTCATCATATTTTTTGGCCTAAGAATAAGGTCCAGCGCACCCTTTGATCCTGACTAGCAGTCTCATAGAAGTCAATAAGGAAAAAAGAACAAAAGGTATCAAATATAGTGGGTTTTTCTTTTGGGGCGGTGCTTGTGTGTTTTTTTTTTTTTGCAAGAATTTTTATTTTTATTTTGCAAAAGCTGTGTATCAAAAAACATCATCATCTCTGCACCCCCTATCCTCCATATCAACCAAAAAACTTAAGGACTGCACTGGTAAATATATAATAAAGCTAGGCAGGCCTAAAGTCAGGGTCATCAGGTATGGCAACAGTAGGGGACAATTATTTTCTCAAGCAGGTCTTACATGCTACAACAGTGGTAAGGCTGCACACAACAGAGGCCAGCAATGTCTGTAATTTCTTGGCCAAAGTGACTAATCAATACCAAAGGATGTGGTTTTCTTGGCAGATGAAGCCTGCATTATGTTCCTCCTTTCAGGCCCAGAGTAGTCAATATTCAGGCAGCATGGCTGATGTGTCCTCTTACTTCTCTTTAGCTAATCCTGCCAGACCCCTTCAAACTGGCGGAGGAGGAGGAGCCAATGTATTTTTTTAAGCACTTCATTCCTGGCTTGTTGCAGAAGGAGATGCAAGAGGAGGCAGCACAGAAAGATTATTGTGATGCACAGGTCTTTCTTTGTTTTTAGAATGTAAGAAAAAAAAAAGGAAGAAAGCAGGCTGGGCTGTGTAAAAAAGGATGCCTGTCAGTGCTCCTGAGGAAGCCTTGCTCCAGGCAGGGCACAGCAAAGGCAGTGAAGATGTGTGAGACTGCACTTAGGTGCCAAGGAGGGTAGAGCAGAACAACTCTCAGGGAGAAATGGAAGTGGGAGAGTAGTCCTGTGCTGGAAGAGGGAGAAGATTGTCTAAGAGCAAGGTCACTTCTCAGCAGTCAGCAGACAGTCGGCATCAAAAGTTATCTTACAACACAGATGCGCAAGCTCATTAGCAGGGTGGTGTTAATGTGAAAGTGGGTCAGCAGAGCTTGAAAGTATAGGCCATTTAGATTGCTGCAAGAGTGTCAGCAAAGTGGGTACTAGCTGCATGCAAAACCACATGCGGCTCCATCACAGACCTTGGTCTCGCAAACCCATAAAGGTTAAAGAATTTGTATATCTGTCATGATGCCCTTGAAGTTGTATGAAAAGCCCCCCAAACCCACCCCCTTTGCATTAGAAAAGCTCTCCCATAGCTGTTAGCTTATCTAACATCCCTCCAAGTGACCAATAACAATACTTCCATATTGATTTCAAAATTAGAGTTGATTGGATTTCTTTATTTAGAAAAATTAGGGTCCAATTGAATCTTGGCACATTCACTTATCCCTAATCTATACTTGTTTCAAGTCACTAACTCAGAAATCATTGACGTTTAAGAGTCATCGTGATAGACCACTAGCTTTTTCAGTGAGAGGTCAGTACTGGAAGTCTGCATTTTTTCTGAAAAGGCTTCCTTTAATCCTTACGTTTGTGCATGGACCACTGCAACTATTTAAGATTCCTTACATCTGACATTTCTCTGTTTCTATCAAACATGATTTTGTGACAGAATTCCTATTTGCACTGAGAATTGGAGGACGTTATTTGCTGATCTCCTGGTAAACTCTGGTAGCCACTGTTCACATGTACTCAGGCCGGAGATCTAAGGGCTTGTTCACACCATGTCCAGACCATGCCCAGACCAAAAAAGCATCCCAATGTATCCCTATGGTATTTCTGGGCGCTGTTCACACCAGCGCAGTCCGTTCCGGTCCAGACAAAAAAAATATTGCTTGTCTCATTTTTCCTGGCCTGGAACACACTGGAAAAAATAAAAAATGCATGCAAACGCACAGGAATGCACTGTACTGTACCTCAAAGCCCATTTTAAGCTAAAAAAAAAAAAACCATACTGAAACACAACAAAATCATGGCAAAAAAATAACTGCACATGGTGTGAACATAGCCTAAAGCACTGGGCAGGAATTCATGGTATTTGCTCCAGTAGCAAAATCCAATAACTATAACTGGTATGTACCTGTATTACATTCCACATCTAATAGATCAGTCCTAATACAATACGATGCAAAGATAAAACCACTGCTTGACTATCTGCAGTAGCTGTGCAAAGTCTATTTGGCTGTCATGAGAGTCCTCTGGCTACAAAGCTGACACTAACCCAGGAAATGTATGTAAATAAGGTTTAACATTTTAATCGTAAAGGATCTGTCTTACACGTCATTAAAAATAGAGGGTTAAAACACGGTTATGGCTTCAATAGCAGCCGTTAGCTTGTTTTAAAGCATATCTGCACAGTGTGAACATGGAAGCCCAGCTCTGAGCAGACATCAGGCTCCTAATATTTCCATAAAGAGAATCTCATACCAGCAGAATACTTTCACGTGTGATAGCAATAAAGGTATGTAAATGCTGTTTGCGCAACACATATTAGGTATCCTCCACACATGCCAAAGTAAAAGGATAATTCTAGGGCCATAAATTATAGCTAACTCTAAACTGATGACACAAAGGTTTTGAAACTATTGAATATGTACAATTTTGGCTATTGTATTTTTCAGACATTTGTGCAGGTGCTTGCAGTTTTGAAGCTTGGCATTTTATGTTTTTAACAACTCAACACAGTTTAATATTTTATATTTAGAATATAGTTTGGAGATTATTTTGTATTTGCAGTGGTGGACCTAAGGAACAAAGAGCCCTGGTGCAAGATTTTTTTTCTTGGGCCCCCCCACCCCTACTAAGAAGCCCGTCAGCCCATTCGACAAAGCCTCCCCCCAAATGGAGAGGCCTGAGACCAGATTGTACTGCCCCTCCACCTGCCCTAGTCCACCCCTGGTCTCCATCAGAGGAGCTTACACTCTAATGTCCCCCCATAGTCACACACTATTATTATTATTCCTTTACAGTATATAGCTCTGACATATACCACAATGATGTACAGAGAACACTGAGACAGTCACATCAGTCCCTGTACAGAAGAGCTTACACTCTAATGTCCCACCACAGTCCTACACTACTATTATACATTTATATAGCTCTGACATATACTGCAGTGCTGTAGAGAGAACACTGAGCCAGTCACATCAGTCTCTGGCATACAGGTGCAGAGATCACCCCTTTAGACTTATCGGCTAATCCCTTACCTCCTACTCTTTCTTTACCTGCTCATGCTTTACCCCCTGCACTATCACACAGATTATCAGGCCTTTCCCTGCCCTGTTGGGTTCCTATTTTAGCTACTGTGTTAGCTAGGCTTTTGGAGTCGTGTCTCACCCCGGCCATCGCCCTCTGCCGCAGAGCAGCTCTCTTTCCTTAGGCCATGTCAGTGGTACCTGGTATACATCTGTGTAATTATCCCTCTCCTTTACCAGAGGATCAACATGACAACATGTCAGCAGTGGCAGCCACCTTCTCCCATGGCAGAAAGAATAAGACAGAGTGAAATGTAGAAATGTTCAGGGAGGAGGGCAGTGCGGGGGGCAGGGACACTTCTGGGACCCCCTGGGGCTGAACTAAAAATGCTGGTTGCCTGGCTGTCATGCTGATCCACTGAATTAAATGCTTCAAAGCCAAGCAAGCATGCAGATAAGGGTTCTTAAACCACGTGTTTGTTAATAGAAATGTTGGGAAGAAAGAGGATCAACATTACAGTCAGCAGTAGCAGACTTCTCTCATGACAAGTTCCCAGTGAAGATGCTAGGATTAAAAAAGTCAAATTGAAAAAGAAGACATAATGGCACAGGACAAAGACACCCCAGTACCTTCGAGTGACTCCCTAGGTTACACTGACACCCCTGGACTTCTAGGGACACTCCAGGACTTTCTGCACTCACCCAGCTCTGCTCCCTAAACCTGCTGGAAGCAGCGGCGGTTTCATAGAGACTGTGTGAGGGGGTGTGGCCACAATCCCTGCATGGACCTGACCACTAAGTAAACAGGAGGGGTGGAGCTACACCTCCGTCTGTACCGAGAGGAGGCCCGACCCGTGCCTGGAGGAGACACCGCCCTGATACCTGCATGTTCTCCAAGATCAGTGGGTGGAGGAAGCTGACATTAAAGAATATCCTCATTCTCATCCCTGTCTTCTTCATCCCTGTTATCCTGCCAACTCATTGGGCCCCCCAGCCTTGGGCCCTGGGGCAGCCACACCGGCTGCACCGGCGGTAGTTCTGCCCCTGTATTGTGTGAACAAAAATTTCTATACTGAAAATATAGATTTGATATACATTTGCACAAATATTGTGTTATGTAAAAAAAATGCATCTACTGTCTTAAAATTCTGCAGGTTCTTGACTTTCAAAAAAATATACAGGGATATTCACAAAAAGGGTGAAGAGTTTGGAGAAGGCAGGAGAAGTGAACAATCTAGGACAACATAGCTGAACTGGAAAGTGAGCTGAATTGGAGAATGTTTCCAAATCATCTATGTTGTCCTAGATTGTTCACTTCTCCTGCCTTCTCCAAACCCTTCACCCTTTTGTGAATAACTATGATAGTTTTGGGTGTCTATGTAAATTTTCACGCCAAACGTGTGCATTTTAACATGTGTGTGAACAGTAGAAAAATGAATCCAACAGAAAACCTGTACATTGCCAGTACTAGGCAACTAACAGGTTTCTACTGTAGGCAGTCTGAAATAATTTTTCCTGTGCACCCTTGCTTACCTAATCCACCACTGAAACTTGAGAAATACCTTATCCTTCTGCTTATGGGGGTACATGTGCCACTCCCACTGCCTCTCAATGGTGCAGGTTTGAGTGCTGTCACATGGGGGTGATCAGGAATATGTGAAGTGTAAAACAGCATACAGGGTTCGGTGTTCCAGAATATGTTTCATACAACACAGCATATGGGGGGGCAGGAGTAGTGGAGTATGTAAAGTAACACATGGGATGCAACGTGAGGTAGCTATAGCTATATAATGTTTCCTTTAATGTTATCTTACAACATGCTCAGGTATTTAGTTAACATTTTAACGTGTGGCAGAGTGAATGAACACTGCTATGTTAGCCCCAGAATGGAGTTTTCAGTGTTTCCTGGATAGAAGGGGTTAAAACTCAGCTTGCTCTCAAGTCTGTAATTAAGGATCTACAAGATCACAGTTCACAGGGCTCACTGGAGAGGAGCTTGGCTGAGAGACAGAGTCAGAGGGGTTGATTTACTAACCTTATAAACACACCACGAACATGTATACACCTCTGTAGTGTGTTCCCTCCCAGCATGATCTATGGGTGGAATCTAAACACCTTTGTAGTGTGTACACACCCAGCAGGTGTGTTGTGCAAAGCCAAGCATGAATTGCAAGGTGTAAATTAGCTCTATGTTGTGTTGCTTGCGTTGATGAATGCAGGAATGTAAATGCATGAGCTAACCATTTTTGTCTAAACTGTGAAGCAGCATTATATATGCATCATGTGCATGATTTTTCCATATATGGCATTAGTGGAAATATGCTTTTAGAGACTTTTTGGTTGATAAATACGTTTTGCTGTGTGAAAATCACACGCACCTAGTGCGTGCGTGTGTTTAGGTTAGTAAATCACCCCCAGAGAGTCTGAAAGACAGAGACAGAGACAGAGACAGAGGTATCTGGCTGTTTATTTTCTTGTTTTGTTTTATCTACTGGTTACAGTTTAGCTGCCCAGTAGGACAGATAGGGACTTTTATGTTAGTTAGCCTCCTATGTTGGAGTAGGTTTTTATTTGTAGTATTTTGTTTTGGAGCCATATGTATGGCATACATGCTTAATAAAACGCATGGGCACATTAAAACAAAGATACATTTTTGTTATTTGTGATCCCCGGACCGGGCCTGTCTGCCACACATGACATACCTAGTGTAAACAGAGTCTTTATCTTAAAGGAGAACTATGGGGCAACATTTTCTGCCCATAGTTCTCTTTAGGGTCATGGGGGAACCTATACTGTGTCCACCGTTGACCTAAAACTCAGTATATAGTGGGCTATTGCTCAATAGAGGCAGAACCAGCTGTACCTGCTCCCTCCCCCGTCTGTTCTTCCACTCCGCACTGGAGGATCGGAGAGGGGGAAATCCCTGCTGGGAGCAGTGACTGACAGTCACTGCTCTCTGTAGGGAGATGATTGGGAAGTGAGCGGATCGGCGGTATGTTTTCGCTCAATAGAGCCAACCTGTGACAGCTTCTTTGTCACAGGTCAGTTTGAATTATGGGGATGAGTGTTTTTCACTCATCCCATAATTCTCATAGAACTCTGTTCTCACCCTGAAGTTTATTTTCATTCATTGTTCTTCAATATTTGAAGGAGAACTATGGGGCAATGTTTTTTGTCCATAGTTCTCCTCAGAGTTACGGGAGGACATGTACTGCTATTGCCCGCTATATGCTGAGAGCGCCGCAGCCGGGACAGATTCTAACAATACTGTCGAGATCCACCCAGCTGGCTGATTAACAGCTGACTCTGCCTCTCTTAAGGCAGAATCAGCTGTGTCGGCGCCCTCCCCCGTCCATCCCTCCAGTCAGTGCTGGAGGATCGGATAGGGGAGGGGAGTATCCCTATGGGGAGTGGTGACTGACAGTCACCGCTCTCTGCAAGGAGATGATGGGGAAGTTAAACGCATCGGTGGTATGTTTTCACTCACTTCCCGATCAATATAGCTGACGTGCGGCAGTTTCAACATCACACGTTGGCTCTAACTATGGGGATGAGTGTAATTCACTCACCCCATAGTTCTGCTTTAACTATCTCCCGGCAGGCCGTTGTAAAAAAACGGCCGGTCGGGAGCTCTCTAGATCTGAGCGGGCGTCTTTAGACGTCCGCTCAGACACACCCCCGAGCGGGAAATTTGTAAGTTCCCCTCCCAAAAAGTTACACATAAAAAAAGAATAAAAAAGCAAAAACGACGATTGCGCCCATTACGCCGCACATGTTACATATCGCCACAAACGTCACAGTGAGAGCAATCATTCTAGGGCCATCAATCACTGATAACACTAAACTGATAAGCTGTAAAAGCTTTTAAAGCATCGCCTATGGCCAATTTTGGGTATGGTAGTTTTCTGCGTTTTTGCGGGTGCGCACAATTTTAAAGCTTGACATGTTTGGTGTCTATTTAACCGACGTGACCCGGTCTTTTATATTTTACCAAAAACTGGGTAATAATAAATGTTTCCTAACATAATAAAAACCGCAGTGATGATTAAATACCACCAAAAGAAAGCTCTATCTGTCCCCAAAAAATGGTATAAAATTCATTTCAGTACAGCGTTGCATGACGGAATAAATGTCAGTCAAAGTACCGCAGCGCTGAATACTGAAAAATGTCCTAGCCGGGAAGGGGGTCTAAACACCTGTTCTTCAAGCGGTTAAAGCATTTTCTGACCTGACAATATTTGCATATTACAAACTTATTTTTTGTTAAACAATATGCCTACAATGTAATGACTATTTCTGTACTACAACAAACTAACTTCCTGAGGTATGTATTTCCTGCTTCAGTTAAATATATTTCCTGCATTCTTAAACCAAGCATCCTGAGCAGTAAACACAATTGATTAAAGCTGTACCATACAAAATAACCATTCTGTTGCTAAACTATATTTCATTATTTTTGGGTAATGCTGCATGTATGTGTAAAGTAGGTTATGTAAGAAATTCTTCAGTTTAGAGTACGGATAGAATGCTGGCATATGAAATACATGGCTTCCATTACACATGCAAAGTCACCAAGCATGCAGTGGAGGTGATATACTAAATTAGTATAAGCTGTTCACCAATCAAAATTAATGTTCACTGTTCATAAGCTGCAAGTTAGTAAAACAAGACTTGGATATAAATATTTAAAGTTGCAGTGTTAATGGTCCCACCAATATGTAGCCAACTTGTCACAAAGAAAGCAGCTGGAACCCTGCAAAATGTAGACGCTGCTGGGCATGTGCAGCTATGAGAAGGGTGGTTCATCTGCATCTTTACTGATATCTGAGAATGTAAAGAAGAGGGTAAGGGGTAAGATGTTGTTCAGCTTCCCTATCAATATCAACATGAGACAGTGGGGGTGATTTACTAAAGGAATAGAACCTTTTCAACTAGCTGAATGTTCTGGGGCATGTTTTGGGGCATTTTTTAATAAACTAACTCTGAGTTAGTTAATTAGTACAAAAATAGGTGATGCTTGTATGACTAAACCTTACAAGAGTTGCAGATCATAAATCCATGAAAACCACTAATATATATAGGGGAAGCCTTTCCTATCAAACATTTTTGGACCCTATAACTGTTGAAATACTAAAAAAATTGTGAAATGAAGCATGTGTTAACTAGATAAGGAAAAACCACAAACAGTTTGTTACAAGAACCACTTCTGGTTATTGTCTTCTCAATTCTCTGTTCTCTCACCTGCAGCCTCTTGACAATGTGGTTTACTTCTTCTTCCACCTCACTCTCACTGTTAGCAAGTGGGCACAGAGACAATCTTCCTGCCCGTCCATAGTAAAGGTCCAATCCCCCCTTGTTGCAGTATGTCCATCCAAGTACATCACGGCATGAGCACTGGAAGCATACAGTTCCCTCACGCTCCTTTTTTGGATCTACTAAAACCACCATCTCAGAGGATATCCCTAGCATATAGGTACCTTCAGAAATACAGACACTTGTTGCTTTAACTGTCCACACAAGGGCACCAGAACTGTGGAATTCAGGCGGAAGACTGTATGCCCAGCGAGCTCCTTTTCCGCTTTTATCTCCAAGGCCTGTGCTGCCAGCTCTGTCCCTTTTCTTAGAAAGACCCAAGATGGTTAGTTTGGAGGAACAAGAATCCAAGGTAGTTGTGGTAACATGATCACGAGCCAAGTCCTTTAAATACTCTTCTCTTGTTCGTGTGGCCATAGCCAGAAACTTACCACCACGCTCAGCTGCATTTTCACCATTTATGGCTTTGGAGAGTAGGAAATCTCTAAGTTCGGGTGAGCGATTGAACAAAGTCGTAGGCAAAATAGGTCCAAAGGGTGGTGTGTCAGCCGTACGAGTTACAGCAACACTGTAGATAGTGTAAGGAGTACATGGATTGTGAGCTCTCACCACAATGAATACATGTTGAAAGTGGGAGCGTATGGTCTGTGGAGTGAAGGGGAGGGCACCTGGTTCTTGGAAAACAATTGTCACAATGTCATTACCAATATGCCTCTTCCGAAGTAGCTGAAAAATCAAATTACCATCAGTATAGGATAAACAATATATAATTTAGAATAATCATACAAAATGGTACTAAGTCTAAACAAAATAGTTTTAAGATTTTAGAAATGTAATCAATCAAAGTACTTACATTTCCACTATAACTGTATAATTAATTTTACATAAGATAAGTCCAGTTATGGACTCAACTTGCCAATATGCTTACATAGGTTTCATTTTGTTTACGTGAACTTGGAATTTATCATTTCAAGCTATGGCATGCAAGGCTGCCTGTGCTAAAGGTTGCTAAACAATTCCCAGCAGGTGAGTACAAGTTTCCAGCTACCAGTTATGGAAGTTTTGTTATTTCCTAAAACAAAATCCGCACACAATTAAATAGATATTAAAGAAAACCTGTTCTGAGATAGTGTGGAATCTCCAGTTGCTCCTGAAATGCTAGTTTAAAGCCTTACATGCTGATGCAATGGCTTTCTGAGGAACTGACCTGGAACAAGTGTGCAGAGTAGGAGTTCTGATTTCACAGCGGTTCTCTACATTGCGTGTTTTTCCAGGCCAGTACGTCAGTAAGTACTGAAGCCACAGACAGCCAAGCAACAAGTATTCTTAGAAGGAAGCCAGCAATGGCAGCCACCCTACTTCTCGCAGTATGGGTTTCCTTTAATAGTGCATGTTTATTCCTGAATGTTGCACTTTGTCTGGAATTCTCCTTTAAACAGCATTAATGCCACACATTATACACTTATTACCGTGCTATCAAAATAAAAATAATCATTCCATCAGTTATTATACGGGTGACAAGAAAAAGCCAATTCCATTTTTAGGCAAATCTTTTTAAAACAAATTAAGAAAAAGTAGATAGAAGGTCTGATAGATTTTGTTGGGAAGATTTTCTCTCATTTCCAGATTCCCCAATAGAAAACTGACAGAGGTTCTAACCCCTGCTCCCTATTTCATGCTTTAAACATGGAGTCCAAGTTCTAATGACTCCTCTAACAAAGTCAATCCATACTGATGTAATGACACTTTGGGGTCTAGTTGTAAAACAATTTGCATAGCTATTCATCCAGCGAATATACAGTATATAGGCAGTAGTGAATCAGCAAAATACCCCATTATGACCACAAGATGGAGCTGAGGTTCATAGAAAATAATTACGTTATAATAATGAGATACAATGTAACCATTTTAGGGAACACTTGAGGAAATTTGGAGATAAATATAATCAATGCCACTAGGGGACAGCTGTCAACCCATAACAGAAAGTGCTTGAACAAGGATCTACATGGCGGGTAGTCTTTTAATGAAAGCTGTTTGTTTCAAAAGATTTAAAAGTTTTTGAAATTACATTAACGTATTAAAGCTTACAAAACATTTTAGCTCTACTTTTAAAATTTACATGAATCTAATAATATGTACAAAAATAATAATTTTAGAACTGCTTGGACTCTATGGGCCCCCATGCATGATATAGCTTTTAAAGATGTCACCCACACTAGCTCCAGTCTGGGAGTGGAGGAGAAGGTTTATGTGTCAGGCTAGGAATTATTTATTCTAAGTCTCTAAGTACTCATGCCCCCTTCTGAAGACTACGTGCCTAAAAAGTAACACATCCTCATTACAGACTGGATGGACCAGCTAGTAATTAGAAGATATTTAAACATTAAGCTTGGTCTAATACTCTCGCCAAAATATCTCTCTTTAGCAAATCCTTTGTGAAACAGGTTTTAAAAATGCATTTCAGACCTAGAGTAAATGATCTTTTATAGACCCTGTATTATAAGATTTATTTGCTTAACATTAGGGCTGCGGAAATTAACAATTAATTTCTCGATTAATCGTTAATCTTTTTGATCGATTAAAAATTTTTTTGATCGCTAATGAAAATACTCACCTCTCTGCCGGCTTCCGGGATTCCCGTCGGAGATCCGGTGACGTCACAGACATCGACGTCACCGGACTCCTCCCCCCTTCCCCAAGAGGCTCCGGCTGGTAGCGAAGGGAAGGGGGAGGGGTCCGGTGACGTTGATGTCCCCAAGTGGCTCCGTCCGTTAACGAAGGGAAGGGGGGGGAGGAGTCCGATGACGGTGATGTCCGTGACGTCACCGGACTCCTCCCCCCCTTCCCTTCGTTAGCCGACAGAGCCACTTGGGCCGGTAAGTTTGCCCAAGAAACTTGTTCTGCCCTATCAATTTTTAAATAGGTTATACTTGCATTACAGCACAGCAATGAAGTAATAAAATGAAGTAGGATTACACTAATCCAGCACGTTATTATTCTGGGTTGCCCCACTCAAGCGGCGGCCATATTGAGTGGGGCACGTGCTGGATTAGTGTGATCCTAGTTCATTTTATTACTTCATTGCTGTGCTGTATGTGTATAGGCCAATGTAGTTGCATCTGCACGTGCGTTAGAATTAATCAAAATTAATCGATTGAAAAAAAATGTGATTAATCGAACACGAAAATTTTAATCAGTAACAGCCCTACTTAACATTTATGTACCTGTATAACTTGTATTTTTTATACTTGCTACTAGCAGACTAGCTACTGCACGATTCAGTATCTTCATTCTGTTTTCTTTTTAGCAATTGTTAATATGTAACGTATATTTCCTTAACATATTTTCTGTATCATCTACAATTAAAGTAGAACTCCGGCAAATCAAATCTTAACCCTTGCAGCGGGGGTACCCTCGCACTGCAAGTGTTAAGTGCTCATTTTATCAATGGAGCTAAAAAAAGAAAAGTTAGACTAACCCGAACCACAATCCCATTTTGGTCATAGACCGGTCCCATCAGCCTCACTCCCCCTCCGGAGTGGAGAAGGAGATCGTTAGCCGACAGAGCCACTTGGGCCGGTAAGTTTGCCCAAGAAACTTGTTCTGCCCTATCAATTTTTAAATAGGTTATACTTGCATTACAGCACAGCAATGAAGTAATAAAATGAAGTAGGATTACACTAATCCAGCACGTTATTATTCTGGGTTGCCCCACTCAAGCGGCGGCCATATTGAGTGGGGCACGTGCTGGATTAGTGTGATCCTAGTTCATTTTATTACTTCATTGCTGTGCTGTATGTGTATAGGCCAATGTAGTTGCATCTGCACGTGCGTTAGAATTAATCAAAATTAATCGATTGAAAAAAAATGTGATTAATCGAACACGAAAATTTTAATCAGTAACAGCCCTACTTAACATTTATGTACCTGTATAACTTGTATTTTTTATACTTGCTACTAGCAGACTAGCTACTGCACGATTCAGTATCTTCATTCTGTTTTCTTTTTAGCAATTGTTAATATGTAACGTATATTTCCTTAACATATTTTCTGTATCATCTACAATTAAAGTAGAACTCCGGCAAATCAAATCTTAACCCTTGCAGCGGGGGTACCCTCGCACTGCAAGTGTTAAGTGCTCATTTTATCAATGGAGCTAAAAAAAGAAAAGTTAGACTAACCCGAACCACAATCCCATTTTGGTCATAGACCGGTCCCATCAGCCTCACTCCCCCTCCGGAGTGGAGAAGGAGAAAGGCGGCTGGAGGGAGCACTCTACGAGCCAGCCGGGATCAAGTTTCGGGTGCTCGTAACACTTGCAGTGCAGGGGTAGCCCCACTGCAAGGGTTGATATTTGATTTGGCCGGAGTTCTGCTTTAATAACTGAAATGTTACCTTTTTATATCTAAAATTCTCCCACATACCATATTCATTTCCTTTAATTCCACTAAATGAATCTTGTGTCATCTGCTACATCCTACACACAGGGAGGACTGTGCTATATCTAAACAAAATAGTTTTAACTCCTATTCTTTACCAATCTAAAAGAAAAAACTTAATAGACTGTAGAAATATAACTGGTTTAAAAATGTAGCCCCTCCTAATATCTTATATCATGTAAAAGAACTTACTAAGGTCTACTTCAGCCCTAATAAAACTCTGAAAAGGAATTAAAATATGCATGCTTTTTATGTAATGTACAAGAACAAAAAACAATCAAATGCTTCAACGACATAAAAGAGAGCATAATGGATGTGACTAAATAGAAATGATGGCGTACTCTCCACATAATGTGATAGAATTAGCAGTTATAACATAACTAGTGAGCTATCACCCAAGAAAGGTGTTGATGATTCTCAATGTATTTGGTTACCTGTTGACTATTGCTTGCAGTAAACGGAAGCATTGTTGATACGTGAAACATGATCTCATAATCTTGGTAACGAGTGTAGAGAGAGTGTGTACCCGTACTGTCAGCTGTGAACAAGTACAATGATGTAAGTGCTAGTAGCTGTAAACCAGTTATAAAATATACATATTTATAACATTGACATTAGGCATTCTGTATATATTTTAGTGTGTGTACGTAGAATGTTGGCTTTATTTTAAAGAAGTTTCACAAGCATTTTAACAAATTGGAGTACCTCCTGAAATTAAGTGATCAAAGTTTAAAAAACTGACAACATCATATAGAAAATAAGTGTTTACAAGGAGTATAACAAATGAGCAATTGAACCTCCAGGATATGTATATACTTATGGGTCTATTATCAATGTTTTCACGAAAGATTCACACATTTTTCTAATTTAATCATGTAAAAATGTGTGAATCTTGGTTAAAAGTTGAGAGAACCTTGAGTAAAAATGTTGGTAGATAGACCCCTTAGTGCAACGTTAAAGTGAACTTTCTGCCACCCCTGCCAGTGAACACTGTGCCAATTCTGAGAAAAAGTTCCCTGAAGTTCTCTGGGAAACCAGGACATCTGGGAGTGTCAACCTGGGTCCCCCACAGTTCTTACAGGTTCCTCATGTTGATCTCCAGCAAGAGGATCCCATGAGAACTGCAGGGGAACCAGGAGATCGACTCTCAGTATCAGATTGGCAGTAGAATTGAGGGGACAATTTCTCATGAATGGAGTGGTGTTCGCTGAGATGGGTGGCAAAAGAGGTAAGTATCCCATCTCTTCTTTTAAAGATGCATTTTTTGGAGGTGACTGCATTTAAGTATCCAATCTATTTTTTACAGGTGTGCATTGTCTTGCAAAATTTTGGGGTAGCAACAGGATCAATTTAAAACCATTTGATCCAAACAAATGCTTGTGGATGCCAGACTTAGGTCATTCAAAGTCTGATCTGTGTAAATAATGCTTGTTTTCCTTGTGATCAATGGGTGGGGATCTAAAGAACTAGCCCTGTATTGCATCCATAGGGTTGATTAACAGTGCTTCTGCAATTCATGTGGCTTTCAGAGATTCTCCAGTTTAAAAAAAATATTTGTGCAAGGAGGTCCTGGTATTTGCTTTTCTATGTAGTAAAGGTAATAGGTATTTCACCAGAAGTGGGCCTGTATTACCTGTTGGTCTAATCAAAGAGGTGATTGCAGTACACCCCCAAGTCTTAAATTTAAAGAATGGCAAATGTAATTCTTGATAAAATATTTGTCTGTCTAAGGTAAACTTTAAGAAAATAAATCACTTACTTTTGTTATCCAACTGTGCACGGTACTTGTCAAATCCTTTAAGTTTAACTTCATCCCCTAGAAGGCTCAAAAACTCCTTAAACACTGGCCCGGCTGTCTCATTGTTATACATTTCTTCTTCAGTAGCTTGTCCACTCTTGCAGTACAAAACTCCAATTTTTCTCTGAAAACTAAGCTGAAGATTAAAAATAAAAAAAATTAAATGCTACAAAAAGTAGTTTGAACCTTAAAGTGCACTTCCACTACATGCTATTTCCATTCCCCAAAAATACCCAAAATATATATATTTTTTCTAACCTTTTTAGTTATTTCTTTGGTGCAGGCATTTGAGCATAGGGCAAGTTACTCTGAACAATCTCAACGTGGAGGGGGTTACAGACTGAGTTTCCTTCATTACCATACCTTGAGATCCTTAAAAGAGAACTATGGGGGTAACTGTTTTTCCTCATAGTTCTCTTTAAGTTCACAGAAGGACATATACTATCCTCCTCCTGTGATCCAAAGCTCAGTATATGGCAGGCTATTGCCCGTGATATTCTGAGAGAGCCACAGCCGGGACAGATCATGACAATACTGTCGAGATCCACCCAGCTGCGTGAGTGAAAGTTGGCTCTGCCTATCTAGAGGCAGAGCCATCGGTGCCTGCCCCCTCTCTCATTCATTGCTCCACTCAGCGCTGGAGGATCGGAGAGAGGAGGGGGGAATCCCTACAGGGAGCGGTGACTGACAGTCATTCATTTAGAACAGAGGCTGCAGAAAAAGGGATTGAGGACTTTGTGTACTCAAATTCTTTTTCTATTTTAAAAGGGAAATATCAGGGGGCTGTTTGGACCCCTAATAGTTCCCCAAAGCCCCCCCCCCAACAGTAAAAAAATTATTAAAATAAAACAAAAAATAAGAAATAATAAAAATAAAATTAAAAATGTTTTTACTATTTTTTAAAAATCCTGGAGGCAGGGCGCTGGGTGACATCACACGCCTGTTGGGGGGGCATTTTTTTCTTGCCTCGGGCGCAAAAGGAGCTGGCTACAGCTATGCTCCCACGGTGCGGCTGCCAGCTGAATGTGTTAGACGCTGCAGATGGAAAGGGGCAGGACACCTCTCCCCATGTGCAACGTCGGCCACACGAGCCACGGGAGGATAAGACGCTGGGGCCTATATGACGCACTGGAATGTAAGCCGGCCGACTCCCTGCGTTCAGGGGCGGGAGGGGGTGTGAGGTTGTATTGAAGTCAATGGCACCGCAGGCATGCCCCCCGCCCACAGTGCAAAAGCCCGGAACGCAGGCACATTAGTGCCTGCATTCCGGCCCAGTGCGATCTGCAAAAATAGTGCTCGCAGCATTGTTGCGGATCGCACTGGACTGGAAAGCAGGCACTAATGTGCCTGGGTTCCGGATGCAGGCGATTGCACTGTAGGCGAGGGGCCTGCCTGCGGTGCCATTGACTTCAATGCACTGCCACGCCCCCTCCCGGCCCTGAATGCAGGTGTTTTTTCATTGGTAGATCTCATTGAGCTCGACATTTGAAAAGTAGATCTCCAGACGAAAAATTGTGGGCACCCCTGTACTAGACCATTTGTGATAGACACACTGAAAGATGTAACCACTGTTGGTCATTATCTACTGAACTTCAACACCTGGTCCCAGAGACTTCTGAGTACTACAGATGTTGAAGAATAGTGGGTATTGTTCAAGTAAGGAATAACTGAACAGGTGGAGGATATTTTTAGATGAAGATGAGAATTGAAGAGAGAGTGCAGAGTGAGAAATTAAATGGATACATGCATGAAAAGGAGCCAATTTATTTTATTTTATTTATAATAAATAGAGCCAAAAAAGAACAGACAAAAACATCAGTATAGAACAAGGGAACCATGGCTAAAATACCAGGCTTTGGATTGCAGGGTGAAAAACATCTGTTAAACCAAGGACACAGTACAGTTTGAACATCAACAAAATGGTATATTGAAACAATATTAGAACCCTTATATAAACAGAAAAAAACATGCTAGGATCTAACTCCAAGATTCGACAGCGGCAAGCTGCAACTACCCAAAAAGTGTACACACTTCCTCAATATTATAAAATCAACTGTGTTGCGATGTGCCTTATAACACTATTGTGTGCAAAACAAAGATGAATGCATAATAGGTAAAAACAGTGACAATCAAATCATCAATCATTGAAGGGCGGAGCTTAAGACTGCTTCCTGGTTGATGCATGCCACTGCAAGGACTACTGCTGAGGACTTTGCTTTGTTGTTTGTAAGTGCATTTTTATTTAAATACATGTTTTACTGAGATACTGCACAATGGAAGTTCTTATTCTCTTATTTTGAGCTCCACGGGGTTGTTGAAAGGAGGAGGAAAAGGAGATTATGAGGGCATCTAAGTGTAGATCCTGCTATTAGTGAAGAGGTGCTGTATAGCGAGGTGAGAACGAAGGGAAAAAAGAGAAGTTCAATGCTGACTGAACAGGATAAGTTTGAAAAGGAATGAAATAACATAGTGAATTCTCTTTAAACTAATATTATAAGGGCTATCTGGTGAGTGCAATAGAGAGCAATTAAGGCGCACGGTCACACATTGCAGAATAATAGTGCACTACTCCAGTAAGGATTAAGCACGGTGTCACTTTGGGGATTGAAAGTTTTAAAATACATTTTTACCCATTTATTTATCCATCCGAAATTTTGGATTTTTTGTATATAACTGATTACCAGGCTTATGTGGTTTTTGCACTTGGAATAATGTATAATGCACTTATTTGCACTTTTTACTAGGGCTGGTAATGATTAAAATTTTCCTGTTCGATTAATCGAATTTTTTTTAAATCGATTAATCGACTAATTTCGATTAATTATAACGCACATACAGAGGGGGGTCTCACCAGAGCTTTGAGGGGGCCTCACCAGGGTAGCAGGTCTACTGTGATTATGATTGAATTGATTTGAGATTTGTTGTTGCACAAAAGGAATAGGAATATGTATATATGTGTGTGTGTGTGTGTGTGTGTGTGTATGTGTATATATATATATATATATATACACATATACATACATACATACATATATACATTTTTTAGTGCAATACATGTGTCTGCACTGTTTTGCACCTTGCACCAAATTGCACTTTATACATCATATTGTGGTGGGAGGAAGTGATTTTCACTGTTTACATTCATCTTTCTATTGCACACAATAGTAGCAAAGTGCAACACAGTTTTTTTTTAATAATGTTAAAACCCTGTACCAGGAGGTACAAGGGCTGATATAGACTCAATGGTGGACAGGATCATTGGCGCACTGTCTAATCAAATAGAGGGAGTGCACCAGCAGGTGATGGCCCTGGAGCCGCGAATCGCGGAAGTGGAAAATGCGTCCACAGACACAGCCATCAGGGTGGCTGCTCTCGAGGCGTCCCTGTATCATCACAGTCAGCTTATTACCCAGCTCCAACTGAAGGTGGATGACGGGGAGAACAGGAACCGTCGAAACAATATCAGAATTCAGGGGTTGCCTGAGTCGACAGAGGGCCCCAACCTTCGTGCCACAGTCCTTGCACTGCTTAATACCCTGCTTGACAAGCCTATAACTAATCACTTTGAGATAGACCGAGTACATCGCGTGGCTGGGCCTAGAGAGAATGATGGGTCTTTTCCCAGGGATGTTCTGTGCAGAATCCACTTCTATTCAATGAAGGAGGAACTGATGAGAAAAGCATGGCAGAAGAAGACAGTGGACTTTGATGGTGCAAATATTTATTGCTGGCCGGACATTTTCAGATGCACGCTGCTGATGAGAAGGGCGATGCAACCCTTGCTTCAACAACATACACATAGTTTCACATAGTGATCAAGCAAGGGGGGCGGCAGTTTACCCTATCCACCACTGAACAACTGCCCGCATTGTTCACGTTCCTGGAGGTGGAAGAATTTGAGGTACCTGACTTGATGGACCCTGGGGAGGGATCGTTGCGGCCTCCACACCTCCGGCCTCATTGACAACGGAGCCGCAGAACCCATCAGGAAGTATACCCAACTAGAGCAGCCGGTTCTTGTCCCCGTTTACGAGATGTTTGAAGATCTACAAAAGTCAGCACCTGTACCCTGTTAATTGGGTATACGTTTCTTACAGGATGACTCAGTGTGACGGTTCCAGTTTAAGTGGACGGGGCACGTGCAGACCCTGGGGGTCTTAGTTTCTTATGTGTTTTATAGAAGAGTTAGGGATAGCATGTTCTGAGATAGAGGACTCATCCTGCTAGATTCACTAAGATACTACTTGTTTCAGATGCTAATGTTTGCGTAGGTTAATGTGCTGCTTATGTGGGGGAGCAGAGTGCGGTGGGGGCCTTTGGGAGAGGCGCAGTCTGCTCAGACAAATCGAGTGGAGTTGCTCGGAGCGATCTAGTGTGCCCGTGGGGTGGAGGCTAAGGCGCCACGGTCTGGAGGTGGGTGGAGTGCCGGAGAGCATCCCGGTCCATTCTAGCTTCTCTCAGGCCGGCGTCCCACACACTTTTTTAGCTCCCTTTTCGAAGGGGGTTATAGCACACTGATGATACTTTTGCCTGCATGTGGGATTGTACCCAGCTGGGGCCCGGGAGGGTGGGGCTCTCTCTTCCCATGGTCAGGGCACTGTTCCTCACCTAGGGCCTTCCCCCTTTAGCCGAGAATAGGTTTGGGGGATCTAGCCCTGGAGGTTCGGTATGTACCATTTGAAACAGACTCTTCTGTCTCGCCGAAAGGTGGCCGGAGGCCCGGGATTCCCAGACACGATCTAATACCACTGGGCAGTGCATATGGCGAGGGTCCTAGAATGTGGGAATGGGGAGAGGTAAGAGCTGGATCCAATTGGAGCAGGAAGCCACTGTAGTTCCCCTTAGGTGTCTCCCCTGGCTGCACAAGGAGGTGGATCTGCAAGTAAAACGACACCCCCTGATTGGCCCAACGCTAAAAGTGATGAGATCGGTCACTGACTATATACTGGACGCCTCGAAGTCGGTGGGTATGTCTCCAGTTTTGGGGAACCCAAATTTCTCTGCCAGGCTGGAGAATTCGTTTTTTCACTCCTTCGGGCAAGCGGGTAAGACCCGTCTTATATATTTGCATATTAAGGATGTCCAACAGATACTTAAGCTCACATCATACAAGGAATTATGTCTGGCCACTTCCCC